GAGGGGGGGGCGGCGCTCTCCCCTGTAACGCCCTCTCAAATCTTTAGTGCAAACAGGTATCGGAGCTTTAGGGCCCGTGTACCCCAGCACCACATCTGCACAAGTGCCCTTCACACGCAGCCTCTGGGCTTCCCAGCTGTGGGACAGGAAGGGAAAGCTATTTCCCCATTAATCCAGGAAATGGAATGAGATCATTGCATACAATTCCTGCAGACAAGAAATGCATTTTCTACCAAATAAGTGATACAACCAGGGTTAACGCAACCTTTCTCTGTACAAAGGAAAGGATTTCTGGGCTGAGCTTAAGGTACCTGAAACAGATCCACACGGTGGCTCCTACTGCTGATACTCGCTCGGATTTATTTCCACTGCTTGCTACCTGTGAGAGATGACCTGTCTGAAAGCAAGTTGTAAATACTCTGCTACATCTGAGCGAATGGCCATGTAAGAACCCCTCCTGGCTATTTTGCAGAAAAAAAAAAAAAATAGAAAAGAGCTGAAGAAGGAAACTTAAAAGTAGTTGGTTTCAGTCAATTATGGTACAGCGAGCCAATCAGATCCAGCATCTGCATCTGTTTGAAATAACCCTCAGGTAGATAATAACATCTAAGACAAGTATCGCTGAAAGAGATTAGGAAAAAATAAGCTGTTGTTCTCTTTCATTCAGCGCGTTGCTTTGTGCCTTGGACAATGGCTGATACACACTCGGGTATCTGCTCTTGAGAAGTTAGTCACTGCTCTTCCGTCACGCAGGCTATGATGAGGGAAAGGAAAACATTTACAAATAGGAGACCACATTATAAAATCCGTAAAAACTTGCAGTGCTGTGTACAGATACCATTGTAGAACTAGAGAATTAATTACAGCCAGACAAAACACTTGTGCTGATGCTCTCACCTACTGCTTTGTGCTGACAAAATGCAGTTTGTGAGTGGAAATACCGGCTTTTCTCCCAAACCTGAAATCATTCATTAAAAACCCCGACCCTCATCTTTCACAACATAATCAGTTGAATACGTGCCATGATTTTGCCATGTACATTTGCACGACTTCTTTCACCAAGCCAGCAGCTGCACCCACTGAGGCAAATATGCGAGTTAGGGCCAGCCAGGTAGTGCTGCTGATCAGATTAAAGCAGCCAAACAAGTTCTGCTCTCAAGTTTTTGCTTTTTTTCTTTGGCAAAGAGACAAAAATCTGCCAAAGTAGCTCAGAGGCACTACTCTTCCAGAGGAAGCGCACACATTTTGGGACTGTGTTCGCAGGACTGCTATTCTTACGGGGAAAAGGAGCTGGTTAACCAGGTGCTCAGCACCACGCAGGCCCGTACACTGCAACAAAGGTCAACTACCGGCACAGCAGGAAACATAAGGGCCATTTTTGGCAATTGCAACTCAAACCAGCAGCTCAGAAAAAAAAAATGCCCATTTGTGAAGCTGCAGTCTGTTGAGCTTGCCATCATCACAAATTACTGTGTTCATTAACCCTTGGTTTGCCCTCTGCTATTCAAGACACAGGTCACACGGCTCAGCACGGCTGCGTGTCAGAGCCCCAGCGTAAGGTAGCTTCTGTTCTGGCCTTCATGTGCCTCACTTCAAGGAACCTCTGCATTTCCACGCTACTTAATATATTATATCACACCCACAGTCAACAATTAAAATTAATAAATAATTCAAGTTTTGTAAGAAATAAAATGTTAAATTGTTAAAAACCACAATTATTTACATGTTGATTATTTGACGGGCTTGTTTCCAACACCGGTACTACTTAATTACCAGAGAAACAAACAGGCCTCACCTTTCGTTAGCAGCTACATCCCAGCACCATCCCACCTGGGTTTGGAGGTGTGCATGCTTCTGCCCCAGCAGCCTTTGAGTGCACCTCTTCGAAGCTGTACCAGGGTTTTATTTTATTTTTTCTCCATTAGGAGTTACTCTGTTACAAGACTTGTTCAGGGACAAATCAACCCCTTTCTCCACCTACCTACGTAACCTGAGCTGCTTCTGCGCTGAAACAGGACATCCACAATCCTGTGCAGGTCTTTGTCCCCAGGCAGCTTGGCAACTGTGTCCCAACCTGGCAGACCTTTGCCCGTGCTTCAGACGACACCCTGTAAGCACTACCACTGGCAAACCTGCCCTGGAGCGGCGTCTCCAGGACCTCAGGCCACCCCTCTGCGCCCCCAGCCCCTGCCCAATGCCTGCCTCTGTCTCCTGCCAAGATCACGAGGAGTTACGGGAGGGCACCAGGAAGAGACAAGGCCTCTCAGATGCGCGATGTTTTTGTAACCATCTATCCCACTTCAGTGATCTGCTGGTCATTTCGCTCTGCCACCACAAACCACCTTGGTACCACTTGACCCAACATCTCCTCTTAATAGCTTCAAAGGTCTGTACTTGTTCTTGCTGTTTTCAGACTCTTCAGCTACGTACTCTGTTTACGGGTTTCATACCCGCCCCGCAGCTGGTCCAAACTGGCCTGAACACACCTGATGCAGAAACAGGTGTTGGCTGAACCAACCTTGACCTAGTGATCATATACAATTTGTTTCCCGTCTACAAGCATAACAACCAACCCAGGTTTGAAACCTCTTCATACCTTTATCAAGCTGACTCTCAGCCACCAAGATCTGGGTAACTATTGCTTGTTTCTTACTCCTTCCTCTGCTTCCCTACAGTTAAAGGTGGCGAGCTGTTGAGATGGCAGGAATTTGGAGGAGCTTGATGCCATTTCCAGACCACTGGTTGTCGCTGGTTTTGTTGCCAGCTTAGCTCGCCCCAAAGATTTCGACTTTAACAGTACTGAAGCGCATAAACTGAAATACTGTTGTATCACCTAAGATTGCCAACCACCAGATATTATTTCTTCCCCTTTAAAAGCCTCGATGGATAGTGACATAGGCAGATCTTCAAAGGTAGTTAATAGTTCCTTAAGATTTTTAGTGGGAACTAGGTACACAAATGCTCTTACACACACGGGTCTTGGTGTGTCAGGAGCAAGCCATCAGCGTCTCTGGCCCTTAGGCCTCCCTTCCCAGCTCCATCTGCCTCAGGTTGCTAAAAACGTCCAGAACTCTGGCTGAAAGATATTTCCAAAGAGGAGCAGGCCAGGAGGTGGGGTGGAGGCGTCTACCTAAAAATTGAGGTTGATGAAAGCAGAACTAAATGCAGGGAGACTGACTCATACTTATTTACATTTTTTACGGGAAGCTCTGCAAGTCATGCACATTTTGACTTCTCAAACCTCATAGGCATCGTCTTCTCTGCCAGAGTAATCCTCCTTTTAGAAAAAAGTATTCCGTACTGTGCCACAAGCCAGAGCAAGACATTTCTCTCCTCCGATCCCTTTCAGGGCTTGCTCTGCTGTCCTTCACATGGCAGCAGTAAGAGCTGGTTGCTCTGCCACTGTATTCTCTGAAGCAGTCAATGCAACGGCCTCTCAGAACTGGCAGACATTGTTCCAAAGACTTGATTGGCTTCATTTTGGCATTTCCACAGTCATCCTTTACATATAATTCATTTTTTTTAACTTAAAATTATTATTTTGTGTTTTGCTGGTCACTTCCATATTGCTTCATTCAAAATCCAGAAAACAGTTCAAATAAAATTGGAGCTTAAGTGCAAACTAACTTTCCAGTGAACCGCTACGTGCGTTTTCTCCAGTCCAGTGCCTGTCTTCCAGTTTAAAGGACCCTTCCCACCACCACCCACAGAACACCAGCAAGACTTCATGACCCATATCAAACTCTCCAGTCCTCCATCTTGTCCTCAGTGTTGCCTGACAGCATCCCCAACACCCTTCATGATCACGAAGAAGAAAAAGAGGGAAGAACGTCTTTGTGTCCTTTTATGTATCTATAGTCAGCGGGTATAAAACAGGAAAGGAAAGCAAAGCTTTTTGCATACAAATCTTGGGTTTCTTGGCCTGTCTTTTAGCTTCAAAAAGAACATGTTGGAGGTGTGGTTTTGTTATTCTCTCCTGAAAGGGTTTTTGTGTTTAAAGCGTTTGTCATGCTGGCACATATACAAAAATGCTCGTATCATGTACCAGTTCTGAGCTGGAGTCTCTGTGGTTAGGAATTGGCACAAAATCATGGTGTGGCTCAGAAAAAGGGTTTAGCCGTACATTAGAGTCACATCATCATTTCTTGGAAAGCCACGATGAAGATCTGAACGATTATGAAAAGCCAGGTTAGCCATTTTCAGTTGCTGGGATAGAAAGTGTTAGAGAAAGAAATTGGATTCTCAATCTCAATTACTATGCTATCACACATGATATAAAAATTGTCCATTTTTCCCCCTAATGGAAACTGCATTGAGATTTCCAGGAATGCTGTACAGACTGTCATCAGTTCCTG